GTCGATTGGGATGGATACGGACCAGAGGAGCGTTCATGGGTCAATGCCACAGACATTCTGGACCCCAGTCTAATCACTGACTTCCATCACGCCCATCCCAACAAACCTGCTCCCCGACCACGTGGGAGACCCCGACGTCGTCAGCCACCTCACGCCAGGAGTCGCTCGCAGGGAGGGGGCTCTGTCACAATCTCAGACTCTGTAACCTCACTCTCCAGCCATCAGAGGGCACCCTCGCCTGAATATTGACTCCCTCACCACACTACATTTCCCAATAGCCCCGGTTCTGATTCTAATCACCATGCCCAGCTGCATCTCATTTACTAGGCTTTTTAGCTGCACTGCACGCAGCTCTCAGTGCGAAGTCTTGTTTTGCTACTGTGAACATTTCTGAGCGTTTATTTCTGTGACTGCCTGATTGTTTTGTTGACCCTGCCCGTTTTGGATATCTCCCTGTCTGCTACCTGCCTATGTTACCTCTGCTTTGTTCTTTGACCTTGACTGTTTGCTGCCTGCCCTGATCTTCTGCCTGGTATTGTACTACGATTCAGCCCTGTCTTCACTGCTGTATCTGCTGGTTCTGACCTTTGCCTGTTTGACTATTCTGCTCAATAAATTAAGCTGCAAATGGATCTCTCTGATTCTGATGATTCTCAACACATAGCATGTAAATAGTCTGAGGCTAGCTGACATGGCTGGGGAAACAGAAACCAACAGGTCTAGGGGGGGTTCATACTGTATTGCCCCTGGCTGTAGTAATGAATTGTATAGGGCTAAGGCAGCTGGGGTTACGATACATTTTCACAGGCTACCTTTGACAAGGAAACCAGCCCTCAAGTCATGGCTAGCTGCCTTAAAACTGTCTAGCCCTCCGACAGCCCCTGGATTTCGAGTCTGTAGTGAGCATTTTTTTGTGATAGACTATTTAGTAGGCCTGTCGCGATAGTCAATAAATAAATTGATCGCACGACAAAATAAAATTAGCTCGATAATTTTTCCGGCCGCGATAATATCTATTTGCATGCTTGTTTGTTTTCCTCGTCTCTCTCTCTCTCTAGCAAAGAGACTGGATGACAACTCTCGGTTCCTTAGCGTAGGAAGAGTGAACTAGAGCTTATTCTGCCCGAGCGATATTTCCCGACACTATCCTTGACCTTGAGACGTGCACTCCCAACGCAATAGAGTGCTGCGCGGCACTAGATCTGATCATGGCCGAGACTCCGAGTGCGAGCGCGGGCGGTAATGCACTCACTCTGTGTGTGCGGGTTATAAATAAAACGATTCCCGGGACTCCCGCGAACTAGAAATATCTATGAATAAAACATAAAAACTAATAGATTTTTATTCATCTGTTGCAGAAAAGCAACAAGAACAACTAAAACAAAATAGAAACGATTTACAGGCCAGAGTTTCTATTCATAACATTCTATTCATAACAACATGTTGAGTGATGTAGCCAATCACAGTTATATGTGTTGCTTCTGATTGGCCATTGCGTTCAAGAAATCATTTAAGATAGACTCCCTTTTTGGTATTTATTCAAGTGCATTTGTGACTGTTCTCTGCAACAGATTGACTCCGGTGCAGTGTCCATGCTCCGGCAGCTCACACACCCACACCAGTCACTTCGCCCCAAACGATCCTGTGCTGTAGGCTATGTGGAGCCTGAAACTGATCCTCCATGTGGTGGTGGTAGTCAGAAACTACTGGACTGTCCCTCACAGGTTCAAATGCGTAACCCATGCCGTTAAAAGTGCTCATTTTCGTCTGTGTATTAGGACCTGCAGCTGTTGCCTATGCACCTTTGCGTGTCCTACCATGCCAGTGACGTCATCGAAACTGCCAGCGTAACAAGCGCAATTTATGTGTTGCTTAAAAAAGCTATATTGATATTTTTAATTAAAATTTTTAGTGTAATTTACTTTTAATTGTCATAAACAACACGTTATCAATGTCGATTTTTTTCAGTTCAGTTCATCTTTAAACGGATTGAAATGCTGTGGTGGGACATACAGCCCTAGATATGCACTTGTATAGATGCCTATTATTGTACTGAGTGATTTTAAGAACTTAAAACTGAATAAGCACCAACTGATGTGAGTAAAACAGTATTCAGGCACTTCACTTCCTGAAAATCGAATAAAATGGGGTAACAACCAAATTATGTAAGCCATTAAAAAAATTAAATTTAAACGTTGTTTAAAAAAAAACCGTGTAGTCCAGCAATTTTGTTTTCTTATAAATCAAACCCAAGCCAACTGAAACATAATCCATAAAATAAATAATATAAATCTTAGCACAGTTAGCAACTGAAGAATTTAGATCCTGCGCTTTGCCAACAGTATCTGAACATAGCAGCTCAAACTGACCATATCTCAATGCAAACACCACAAAAGCAAATTAAGTGGAAGGCCTGTACGTGAAAATAAACATTTTGGGAAATATTAATTTCCTTTGCTTATGTATCATGTATCATCAAGTGCAAAATGACATTTGTTTCCCTTATACATCCCGACAGATGTAAAAGAAAATGAACTAGTTTGGGTGAGAAAAGAAAGTGATTTGTGTGGTCAAGTCACCTTCATTTATATAGCGCTTTTAACAATATAGATTGTTTCAAAGCAGCTTTACAGTGATAATAGGAAATTAAAGTAACAGAGATTGTTTTGTCTTTACAGCGGCTCTAGAATAAAGTTATTGTCCAGCTAAAGTTAGTTTTTATTGATTCACTTCTATTGCAAAGATCATTAGTTATTAACTTAGGGGCCGCTAACACAACACCGTTCTAACAGAAAACCCTTAACGTGCTCCGGCCCGCTCAACAACAGTGCCTGGTGGCTCGAGAACGCAAACCTTGAAATAGGTTCCAAGGTGCAAGCCGTGAAATTTTTTTAAACAAAAAGTGTCTCTGCGCAAACTTCAAAAAAGCAAACCTGTGAAAATGCTGACTGCGTGCACGTGTATTACAGTACGTGTATTACAGTACAGTACAGTATGCGCGTTTGAATGTGCGCAGCACATTCAAATTCTGTATTATATATTTTTAAGGCCAGACAATTTAATTTGTTGAGGTCAATTTGTAAAGAAAGACTACACAGTCTTTCTTTACAAATTGACCTCAACAAATTAAATTGTCTGGCCTTAAAAATATATAATACAGAATTATTTATCGCTTCCGCGTAGCCGGAAATGTGAACTGGAATTATTTTGACAACGTTTTATCTGTACAGAGGTAAAGGGAAGGGAAGGAGGTCTTCACAGGGGAGAGACTAGTTGACACTTCAGGACTGCGTTGTCATAGTCTCCAGGCGCAGGTCCTTCAGCGAACAGTGAAAACTAATGCCATGCTTCCTTATGATATCTCCCAAGGGGTAGCATGTACAGAGTGAACAGCAACAGTCCTAGTACTGAGCCTTGTGGTACTCCAGTCCATACTGAACTTGTGATCGATAAGACATCTCTTCATTTACTGCTACAAACTGATAACGGTCAGATAAGTATGATTTAAACCATGCTAGTGCAACTCCACTAATGCCAACATAATTTTCGAGTCTATTTAAAAGAATGTTGTGGTCAATAGTATCAAATCCAGCACTAAGATCGAGTAACACTAATAGAGAGATACAACCACGATCGGATGATAAGAGCAAATCATTTGTGACTCTCAGCTGAGAGCTGTCTCAGTACTATGGTACGGTCTAAATCCTGACTGGAAATCCTCGCAGATACCATTTCTTTCTAAAAAGGAACATAGTTGTGAGGACTGCCTTTTCTATTATTTTTGACAGAAAAAGGTAGATTCGAGATTGGCCTGTAATTGACTAATTCTGTAGGATCATGTTGCAGTTTTTTAACAAGCGGTTGAATCATAGCCAGCTTAAAAATTTTTGGTACGTATCCTAATGACAAAGATGAGTTAATGATATTAAGAAGAGGATCTATGACCCCTGGAAGCATCTCTTTCAATAGCTTAGTTAGTATTGATTTTTAGTATTAAAATCAGCAAATTCTTTGATAAAGTCTGTATGGCCTGTATACAGTAGCCAGCACAAATCTCAAACGTGATTGATCATTTACACTAAATAGTGTTACTTTAAGCACCAAAAGAATTATATTTGAAACAAGACTTCTCAGTAATTCTGAAGATATTACTATAAATTACAGCAACATGGTGTACATGCTATTTGCTTGGCCTCTCCTCAATGTAATCTCAGTTCACTGACCATTATATAACCAGTCTAAACAAGTATCTCTTTATTTAAGCGCAGACAACTGCTCATCTCTAACCACAAGCACATCACAGAATCAGCTAATGTGTACATAAATGAGAATAACATACTGAGCAAAAGGCCATGTGTTCTCTGCTCCATCATACATTTATGAAGATCAGTTGAACAATTGATGCCACACTGCAAGTTAAGAGGCTACAAATGGACATTTTTAATGCCACTGTAATTTTTTGTTTATTTTAAAATCAAGTCTCCAGATATTCAAAAAGCTTGTAGAATATTATTAGCAATTTTCCAAGGTTTTATATTTGCCTGAACAGATTTGCTCCCTTTTTTACTTTTTATTCCTCCTATAAAGTGGGTCCATTCCTAACCAAAATTAGCTTCTCAGACCATTTTCAGAACAAGCCTCACCAAAGACACTTATTTTTGTTGTTGTTGTGTTACAAAGAAATGTGTTTGTGAATATGCAAAACAGAAAGTTTGTCATTATTTTGGAAAAGATTTAAATGACACTAAATATTTTTATTATTGCCACATCAAACTGATGATACCATGTAAATCAAGTAGTTGAGACTATTTGGCTGTAAAAAGAAACAACTAGCTGTCACTAGGTGGTGCTATAATATTCAAAATTCTGAATTGTATGCAGTGTACGGTTCCATACATTGATTTACTTTATAATTTGTTTTTAAAAGACTATGAAAATATATGGGAAGCTAGAATTTTTTACATTGGCATAACATATATATTTGTATCGTTCTTCATCAGGGTTACAGCGCAGAGAACACAGGAAGCAGTCTAAGTCACGTCAGCCCTCTCAGCTGCATGTTAACCAGGTGACAGTGTGTGTGTGTGTGTGTGTGGTAGTCAACATTTGAAGAGAATCAAAACCTTTCATCAAAGTTTTACATTATTTTTTTTTTTTTTGAACATCAGTCAGAAATTAAGTGTTAACAGTGACATGTTTTAGTTTTTTACCCCTTATCCCACCTTAATTTTGATCCACTTCAAATGTTGACTACTGTATATAAATGTGTGTGTGTGTGTGTTGTACATATTTTATTATACCTTACACCCCTAAGTGAAAATGTCTGTTCTGAGTGGAACCTGTCCTGTTAAAGCGCTGTATGGTCTTGGCCACCGTGCTGCAGCTCAGTTTCAGGGTGTTGGCAATCTTCTCATAGCCTAGGCCATCTTTATGTAGATCAACAATTATTTATTTTTCAGATCCTCAGAGAGTTCTTTGCCATGAGGTGCCATGTTGAACTTCCAGTGACTATTGCTATATTTTTAGACATGCACTTGCGAACTTCCCTAAGCACTTCCCCTCGGGGGAATCCCTGCCGCCATTTTGAAGTGCGTTCCACATCGTGAAGTGGAAGAGGGAAGTTTATATGGACAGACCCTCTCTCCCTCGATTTTGACAGAGGGGGCGAGTCTACTTCATATGTACACTTCAGGCAGCTCCATATACCACAATGCAACACGATTGTGACGTCACTGCAGATCTTGTCTAATCACCACCACCACAAACAACTCTATGATATATTAATTTATGATTTTTTTTTTTTTTTAAAACAACCCAAACACATCTATATACATTTGGATGCGGCATTAAACAAATTCTTAAAGGGAAACATTTTTTAAATAATAAATCAACTCTATAGCTGATTCCAAGTGATCAGGGGCTTAGGACGTTCCAATTCAGCCCATTGCAGTTTCCGCCAGTAGTGGGCACTCATGCAACGTTTGCAATGACGTACATCCGAGTGAACGAGACGGAGGGAAGTTAGCGAGTGAAGGGCATGACAATTTTGGACTGGAACGCAACACAGTATGAGAGAGTGTGAGAGCGATAACACCAAACTTAACACACCTGCTCCCCATTCACACCTGAGACCTTGTAACACTAATGAGTCACATGACACCGCACCGGGGAGGGAAAATGGCTAAATTGGGCCCAATCTGGACATTTTCACTTAGGGGTGTACTCACTTTTGTTGCCAGCGGTTTAGACATTAATAGCTGTGTGTTGAGTTATTTTGAGGGTACAGCAAATGTACACTGTTATACAAGCTGTACACTCCCTACTTTACATTGTAGCAAAGTGTAATTTCTTCAGTGTTGTCCCATGAGAAGATATAATAAAATGTGAGGGGTGTACTCACTTTTGTGAGATACAGTATTTTGTGAGATACAGTATATATATATATATACACACTGCTCAAAAAAATAAAGGGAACACTAAAATAACACATCCTAGATCTGAATGAATGAAATAATCGTATTAAATACTTTTTTCTTTACATAGTTGAATGTGCTGACAACAAAATTACACAAAAATTATCAATGGAAATCAAATTTATCAACCCATGGAGGTCTGGATTTGGAGTCACACTCAAAATTAAAGTGGAAAACCACACTACAGGCTGATCCAACTTTGATGTAATGTCCTTAAAACAAGTCAAAATGATGTTCAGTAGTGTGTGTGGCCTCCACGTGCCTGTATGATCTATCTACAACGCCTGGGCATGCTCCTGATGAGGTGGTGGATGATCTCCTGAGGGATCTCCTCCCAGACACGGACTATAGCATCCACCAACTCCTGGACAGTCTGTGGTCTGTGGTTGGTGGATGGAGCGAGACATGATGTCCCAGATGTGCTCAATTGGGATTCAGGTCTGGGGAACGGGCAGGCCAGTCCATAGCATCAATGCCTTCCTCTTGCAGGAACTGCTGACACACACTCCAGCCACATGAGGTCTAGCATTGTCTTGCATTAGGAGGAACCCAGGGCCAACCGCACCAGCATATGGTCTCACAAGGGGTCTGAGGATCTCATCTCGGTACCTAATGGCAGTCAGGCTCCCTCTGGCGAGCACATGGAGGGCTGTGCGGCCCCCCAAAGAAATGCCACCCCACACCATTACTGACCCACTGCCAAACCGGTCATGCTGGAGGATGTTGCAGGCAGCAGAACGTTCTCCACGGCGTCTCCAGACTCTGTCACATCTGTCACATGTGTGAAGCTGCTTTCATCTGTGAAGAGCACAGGGCGCCAGTGCCGAATTTGCCAATCTTGGTGTTCTCTGGCTAAAGCCAAACGTCCTGCACGGGGTTGGGCTGTAAGCACAACCCCCACCTGTGGATGTCGGGCCCTCATACCACCCTCATGGAGTCTGTTTCTGACCATTTGAGCAGACACATGCACATTTGTGGCCTGCTGGAGGTCATTTTGCAGGGCTCTGGCAGTGCTCCTCCTGCTCCTCCTTGCACAAAGGCAGAGGTAGCGGTCCTGCTGCTGGGTTGTTGCCCTCCTACGGCCTCCTCCACATCTGCTGATGTACTGCCCTGTATCCTGGTAGCGCCTCCATGCTCTGGACACTACGCTGACAGACACAGCAAACCTTCTTGCCACAGCTCGCATTGATGTGCCATCCTGGATGAGCCACTTGTGTGGGTTGTAGACTCCGTCTCATGCTACCACTAGAGTGAAAGCACCGCCAGCATTCAAAAGTGACCAAAACATCAGCCAGGAAGCATAGGAACTGAGAAGTGGTCTGTGGTCACCACCTGCAGAACCACTCCTTCATTGGGGGTGTCTTGCTAATTGCCTATAATTTCCACCTGTTGTCTATTCCATTTGCACAACAGCATGTGAAATTGATTGTCAATCAGTGTTGCTTCCTAAGTGGACAGTTTGATTTCACAGAAGTGTGATTGACTTGGTTACATTGTGTTGTTTAAGGGGGCTTTCACACTGCCAGTTTAGTTTGGAACGGGGCACGGTTCGCATGAAAAATCGCTAATGTGAACGCTGTCATGGGACCCGGGTGCGCACTGGGGTACCGAACCCGAGACTACCTGGAGGAGGTGGTCTGAGTTCGGTTGCTCCCCAACCGTGCCGCCCTTCGCATGAATGTGAAAGCAACACGGACTCGGGTGCGCACTTGTTCAGGAAGTAAAGTGACCTGCGCATGCGTTTTAGCTTATGATGTATTCAGTTAAATAAAACACTTGTAAGGGATGATAGTGTTGATGATTTACCTTGGATACGAGCGAGTGTGAGCCTGCAGTGTATTCGTGCATTGCGCGTGAAATCAGGGCAACAAATTTGGAAATCCACTGTCTCCTCAAAAGAGTCCGTTTGCAAGCAGCAGAAGCCCACCTTATGTGACACACGCACAGTAAACCTGTATTGTTCACTCAACTGCGCTTAATAGCAGCGAATTAATAATAAACACAATATTGACCCGCGTTCTGTTTTCTATCATGCGCCATGCACGTTTGCGATGACATAATATGCACGCAAACACACCAGAGTTCGATAGAATCAAGTTGAGTGTGAAACCAGACCAACGCTGCGGGGGGCGCCGGGAACAAACGCGCTCGGGCTCGGACCGCAGCAAACGAGCCCAGTGAAAAGCCCCCTCAGTGTTCCCTTTATTTTTTTGACCAGTGTATATATATATATATATATATATATATATATATATACCAACTGTAAACAAGAAGCAGTTAAATAAGAAATAAAGTCTGATCATTTTCATAGGATTGAATGTTTTGCATTGTTGCTGCTTGTGAAATATGTACATGTTTGTATGGGTGTCCCATGCTGCTGAAAGTGAGAAACAAACAAATGAGAATTAGTTATAGAAACAAACATTTTTTTTTACTGTCAACAACATTTACTGCAACATAAACATTTTACTGTCAACATATGATTGCCTTCTTATCAGAAATATTGAAAGCCAAAAATCATTTGCTTATGTATCAAGCCCATTGTTACATGAATACACTCCAAGTATCAAGTATTTGGTGATTTGGTTACAGCATAATTGCCTCATTACCACATAACGTTATCCTGTTGTATTCCAACCTGACTGACCACATTTGTTGTCACTGCCATTTAAAGGCAATAATAAAATCTCTCCTATTTTTAAGCTATGTGAATAGCTTATTTGGTCCACCTTTGTGGTCAGATTCTGTTATGCAGATTCCCAAATAGTCAGATTCTTAAAAGGAAAACTTTTCACGCAATTGGTGTAGATCAGTACAACATGACTAAAACAAGTTAATTTGAACAAATTATATTTCGTTGAACAGTCTCAAATTTAAATTACTGTGTCCTACTCACTAGTAGCATATGTTAGCATTATAAAAAATAATTCCATTCATTATTTCATATAACGTATACGATAAGTAATTAAAAGAGACTGTTCTCAGTACTGACATTAGAAAATATTGCTCATTGAGTGAAGCAGCACACACGGTTAACATCTTAAGGCTGCCAATAGCTTTTTTACAAGCACACTCTTCAACACAATGATCAAAACCTCAAAAACATAACAGAAACTCTACTAAAGCTCCAAAAAACAAAACGTCTCGGTTGCGTATGTAACCTTGGTTCCCTGAGTAGGGAGCGAGACACTGCAATACCGATATGGGAACACCTTCGGTGTGACGAATGTCAGAAACCCTTATACCATCCCGCCAATTTGATTGGCCAGTACCGCTTAGCACCTCCCCAAGAATACGTCACGTATGCTTCATATCAGTGTGCTGTGCGCTATTTCATCAGATTTCCATTACGAAGGAAGCACTAATCGAAAAGTATGGGAAGGCCGCAACACAAATATCCTCCAAAGAAGTGCCTCTAAAAAGAGCCTGAGAAGAAGCCATTCCTCTGGTGGAATGAGCATGCACACCTAGAGGCTAAGCCAAACCACACGCCTCATAAGCCGCTGAGATAGCCTCGATCACCCAATGAGACATTCTCTGTTTGGTGACAGCAGCTCCTTTGTTTTTACCACCAAAACACGCAAACAATTTCTCCGATCTACGCCACTGGGCTGAGCGGTCGACATAGATCTTCAACGCCCTCACCGGCTAGAGGCCGTGCATCACTCCCAGACTCAGAGTCAGGAGGGGAAAAAGCCTCCAAGACCACTTGCTGGAAACGAAAAAAGGTTGACACAACCTTAGGAACATACCCTGGCCTAGGTCGCAGCAAGACTTTAACCAGCCCCCGGGACAATGAACTGGGTCCAGGTCGTGTGGGCTGCACCAAGAGGTGAACAGCCTCCATTTTAAAGCATACAGGCGCCTCGTGTAAGGAGGGCCGACTAACAGACTGACCAGGTCTGAAAACCATATCTGAGTGGACCAGAATGGGGCCACCAGCAACAGATGTCCGATTTGGCCGTTCGTACTCTGAAGAGAGCCGCTTAGAGTAATCAAATCGGTGGAAAGGCATAAAGCCTGGCTCTGGGCCACTCCTGAACCAGAGCATCCAGTCCCAGAGGCGACGGAGGAGACAGGGAGAACCAGAGCAGGCCAGAGTTTGAGCAGGCTCGCTGTCCCATTCTAGCACCAGCTTGTCTACAGCAAGAGTAACCACCTCTAACAACCCGTTGTATGACGTAGAAGTGTGTTTCGCTCAGAGGGAGAGAGCTACACAAATCGCCTATATGCTCCTCAGAATCAGAGGCCGCTGTAGACAGCACGTCATCGTCAAAAGGAAAATGACAGTGTCCGCACCGCACTCGTCTGCAAACAAGCGGCTCGGGGAAAGAGAGAGAAAGGGAGAATATTCCATCTGCTCACTCTCCATGTGCTCCGGCTCGTAATCGTCAGCCCAAACATCCATCTCTTCCGGCAACCGCAGAAACGGAGAGGTGGGGCTTAGACGAGAGGCCTTCTTTCCTCATAAAACAGGCGAGCCTAGAGCGCAAAACTTTTAGACGCAGGCTATCACAGTGTCGACAGATGATTAAGCATGATTAAGGCCCAAACATTGCATGCACCTGTCGTGAGTCTCTCCTCCTGCGATGAACCTGTCGCACGGTATGAAACATACGTGACATATTCTTGGGGCGGTGCTAAGCGCTACTGGCCAATCAAATTGGCGTAATGGTTTACAGGCTTCAGACATTCGTCACACTGAAGGTGTTCCCAAAGCGATGGTATCGCAGTGTCTAATTAATGAATTAACCATTTCAGTCGTATCCGACTCTTGGTGATTCTATGGGCCATCTCTTGCCATACACGAGAGACAGTCCATGAATTTTCTTGGCGATGATTTTTCCAGGGTAAGTCACCAGGTCTTTCCTCAACCCTCCCATTACATGGTTTGGGACAATTAAGCGTTTCCAATTCACCTATATTGCAAGTTTTTTTTGGGGGATTGTGAGGGAAACTCATGCTGATGCAGGGAGAACATGCAAAATCCACACAGAGAGGACTCCTGGCTTAGTCGGGGCTCGAACCGGGGAACTTGACAACGCTACCCACTGAGCCACCATGCCAATGAATTTAATTTGTGACAAAATGCTCAAAAATGCTTCAGCCTAATTTCACAAAGCAATTTGAACAAGAAGTTTTTTTTCTTTGCAAACATACCTTGACCAATAGTTTTTTTGTAGTTTTTTCATTATTATTGTGATCAATAATATTTTTTGCATTTACCAAGGGTTCTTTTCATTCAGGAACAATAATCCAAAAGGTGATGACACTGATCCTCACGAGAGAAGTCAAAGAAAAAGAGATATGAGAGAGAGGTAAGAGATATGATTCTGCATAACAAATAAAAGTTAAGATTCAGGGATGTTAAGTATTTGAGTGATTGTACTTTATTAATTAACTCTTTCCACGCCAGCGTTTAAAAAAAAAAAAGTTTCCAGCCACTGCCAGCATTTTTCATCATTTTCACAAAATGTTCATGGCCCCCAGAATATTTTGTTGTATGAATATCTGAACATACAATATATCAAAAGAAATAACAGGGCCTCTGCTTTAAAAAAATTAAATTAAATTAAACAAAAACAAAAATGTAGCTTAATGCATTCTTTTTTATCAACACTTGAATGTGGATAAGTTTCATAAAAAAGCAAAATTTTGAGCAAAAAGCAGAGAAAATCACATTTTTGTCAGAGACTACATCCAGATCGGATTCAGAACGATGATCACAACATAGATGGAGTAGATTGAGTCTATCAACACCCCCTAAGGTTGCACAGCCCTATACCTCATCCTGGGTCAACATTTCATGCAAAGGTTCAAACACACAGGCAAACAATCCAAATAAACAACAGGGCAGAAAGCACAGGCAAAAGGGGTAATCCAGATTAATGGGCAGATAATTAAAAAAAAAAACAAGACACTGGAAACCAGGATATCGCTCAAAATTGCAGTGTAACAAATTCAAGACTTTGCGATAACTGGGTGAAAATACAGGTCTTAAATAGCAACATGACATCATGACTTTGCATAAACATACACGCCACTTTCAAGTCAAGTAGCGTGTTATCTATACGCATTTTGAGCTATCCGCGTGTATGTCCACGCCGAAATGAACCGTCATCTTTTGCGTGTATGTCTACGCCGTTAAATGTCCGAGTGATTCCGCGTGTATGTACACGCCGTTAAATGTCCGAGCGAAACGAAGCAAAATGTAGATCTACATCTGGGGAGCGATATTTTTTTTCCTAGGATGGTAGAGGAAGACTCATAAATGGTATTAACCCCAGTGACGGGTAGGTTTAGGGACGGTGTTGGGGTAACGTTAGGTCATATATTTATATATACAGTAGTATAACGTTAAGTCAACGGCGTTGATAAACACGCTGAAAAGCGATTATGCGTGTTGATAGCACGCCAAAAATAGAAATACGAATTGGCGTGTCATACATACGCCATTTCATGAGATCAGTCTGTAAATAGGCAGAGTTTAACAAGATAATGGGGCACAGCTGACCTAATCGCAACATAATGAGTCTAGGCATTGAGTTATGGTAAATTAAGTTCATGATCTGATAGCAATGACTAGGGAGGAGTGTCCGCTGGTGGATATCATGGGCACTCCAGCTGGTGGAAGGTCCTGGATTTGGTCCAAGAGTGAGTTCCTTGGCGAAGGCGGACTAGGGTGAATGCTGGATCCATTTGAAGTCTTCTCATTCATCAATTTGTAAAATAGGACAGAAAATATGTTTACATTAATAAACTTTAATAAAAGCCTAACAAGCAAGATAGACAGAGAGTTTAAAAATAAATCTAAACCCTGTATTGTTTGTTTTACCATGGTCTACCTGAATACTCAAATTTGATTGGCTGTTAAATTCCCAATCAGTGACTAGACACATGTTTTACACTTATAACAATATAAATTCATGTTTTCAATATACGTGAGGAGTACACATATACAGAATATATCTAATTTATAAAAACACAAAAACAATATAAAGATAAACCTTGATGAAAAAGTAAAAGTTGTGCTAGGGATAGCAATTTACATTAAAAGCTAGTGGTGTCAGATTAAAACCCATAAGCTTACTTGCACTGGACATGCTGGTTCTGGCAATGTCACCATGGCTGCAGCCATGTCCTTATCTCAAATATGACAAACCTGCAAACCAGCAACTACCTGCTAATGCTCTCACATTCGCGTAAAGTAGCCTTGTTGACAGAAATGGGCAGTATTTTAATTACATGTATTTGAAATACGTATTTAATTACTTTTGGGTATTTTGTAATTTGTATTTTCCTTAACAAAAATAAATTAAATGTAATTTGTAATTAAATTCCTTATTAAAATATATAATTTTGTCTCGCATATATTAACTTTCATCACTACATCATACTATTGACCCTGTTAACATTTTCGGGTTTCTCAAAAGTGGAAGGTGTCATAGTTAGGTAAAATTCTATAGCAGTGAATGAGACACTACATGAAATATATTTTGTGTGTTCCCACTTGCTCAAATAGCAAAATAAAAACACCACAACAGCGTTTTCACAACTTTCAAAAAGAATTTAAAAAAGAGAGAGATGGATAATGCAGTCGGAAGAGAAAAAGATTGCAACTTTGTCACAGCCACTGTATTAGAAACACCCTCACAGCAGCAGCAACTAGTTTTTTGTAATATAATACAAATATAGTGTTATAGGCGTAATTATCTTTTTTATGACAGTATATGGCAACATGTACGTTAAAAGCGCATCATCTGCACTAAACGGCCGGTATTCTATACTCTTATGTGTATCTAACTTCACAGTTATTCTTGCACTTCAAAAGACTGTAAATTTTTTCTGTATTTTTGTATTTTCAAATTACAAATAACTTTTTACTACAGTATTTTGTATTTTATTTAAATACATTTGATGAGTAAGTATTTGTAATTTGTAATTAAATACTTTTTGATGTATTTGTGCCCATCTCTGCTTGTTGACAAGTTTGGGTGAGTAAGATCAACACTCAAAAGATATAGTACCTTCAATGACCTTCGATGACGATATCACTTCTTTTGTAGCAGAAATAAACTGCTTAGTTCCCTTTCTAAAGGGAACTCACGCTGCGACCCGCTATGAGGAACGCCTCCGGCATGAACGTTTAAAACGTGAACTTGACATTGGCAGGCGGCAGCCTATGACGTCACCACTGGTATAAAAGTGCACCTGTGCAATACGTCATCCTCTTTCTTGTCTTCAGGATACCTTTGTTTGAATATGTGTCTAACGAAGGCGACTATGCTAAACCCTTTAATAAGTGTGTACATCCATGTCAGATTCCCGAACAAACGAGTTTTTTGAAAGTTATGTCCCACACCACAGCGAGATTAGATCTGCCGCGGAAGTGCAAGAAGTGCAAGGTTGCTCATAGTCTCTCGTATGAACGCTTTTTATCGGGACATAACCACCCAGCACTCACAAGCCTTCCCTTTCTCCCAGATCTTCCCACTGAGGTGGGGAGATCTTGGGGAAAGTTATATTCTGGAATATTTTTATGCTTCTATCCCTCCGATCAAAGAGATTCTTGAAGGCATTGAAGGCTCCGTCTTTGCCTACCAAACCGCTGTGCTGTGTGCCTTAATGGCAGAGCATATGGCTATGGCTGTGCTGCAGGCCTACCAGGCTGTCCTGCTTTAGGACCTGGGCTTTACTAATTAGTAGGATCTCAGTGAGCCTCCAGGGCCGTATCCAGATCAGATGGTGGACCTGCGCATAGACATGACCACAACGCATGATGTAGTCAGCCGGATTCGGGACGTATCCAGATCAGATGGAGGACCTGCGCCTAGACAAGACCACAACGCATAGAAACTGAAACTGTCAATTAGAGACTCCCCTGTGAAGGCCTCATCTACACGACAGCCATCGGCACTGATCCTCAACAAACCCGTCTCCATACCGGCGTGATGACTCCGATCTTTAACCAGATGGAACTGGATAAACATTCTGAATGTTCTGATCCAATCTGACTTCTGACCTGTAATGCAGCCTGAATCAAAATCATACACTGTTCATTCGTTGGCAAGAGAACAACTGGCCCCCGACTGAGCCTGGTTTCTCCCAAGGTTTTTTTTCTCCATTCTGTCACCTGATGGAGGTTTGGTTCCTTGCCACTGTCGCCTTTGGCTTTTGACTTGCTTAGTTGGGGACATTTAATATTCAACAATTTTATTGATCTGCCTGCATTGACACCATTATATGAGAACTGAACGGAGTTGGACGATGACATCACGGTTTTCACCAAAGTGACTATATATATATATAAATTAACTTAACAACTTTTTTTACGACAAAAATGAACCATCACTGAACTTACTTAAGCTGGACTATGACGCTATTTTCTTCTAGAAACAAACTTTGTTGCATTATTTTCCGGTTATCACTGTAAAGTCTGTGGCGCCTAGCTAGGACTCAGGACGCTGTTCAAAATCCTGCTGTGCCATAGAGCGCCATTTACATAGTTTTATACTAAATTTACATTATATTTGTCTCAAATCGTCGTTAATGTACATAATGACTTCACCCTGTACTGCAAGATACATTTAGTTTTACATTCATTTACAGAAATCAGCTGATGTTATCGGATTCTCAGGTGAGATTCTCAATTATTCAGTTAATGTAAAGTGTTCAGACTGCAGACTTAGCAACGATTGTATTTAATTGTACAGTACAATCATAACATAGTACAGACATTATCTTAATTTCATAATGTCAATGTTGTAAAAAAAAATAACAATATTGCTGGCCATAAACTGCGTGTCCGGTGTGTGATACCTTAAGTTAAATTTACTCATACTTTACACCACTGGTGATAAATGATGGAGAAACTATGTAGCCGATCCTAACAATACCTCATGTCTTAGTTTGTTTATTGTGTTGCAGAGCCTTGCCCTCAGCTGACCTCTCATTTGCCTCTATTCCTTTAACTGGAGATAAACAGACTGATGCCGAGATACAGGCTTTCATCAGAGCCAGACACAACCTGCTCAACAGCACAGGTATTATTCATTTATTCATACACACACACACACACACACACACACAGACCTAAGGAAACATTTTAAATATTAAAGAGAAAGAAACGGTATAAAGAGACAAGACATTCTGACAAATACAATAAATACACGATTGTGATAGCCTATATGATTTGTCTGATTTCTTGAAGCGGTCGTATTTACCACGTTAACTATGGTAATGGTTAGCGAATAGCCTTAGCATTCTGCCTTATACGGTGATCAGAATCAACATCGGATCACAAACAGAAGTTATTTCAAACACTCGCTGCGGTCTGAAAGTGGGTTTTGAGCTAAAAGGATTTTAATAGTATTTAATGCTGATGATAGCTGGTATATCATCAGTATATCATCCAGCGCTGCCATCTCCTGACTCAGGTAAACTCCTCCTCTGTTAACAACCACTCCTCAAGCCCGAGCTGGACCAAGGTATGGATCAAGGTATTCGGCAGGCCAAAAAACCCTGGCCGTTGGCCCAAAGGAAGTCCTGACGAGGCCCGATCAAGCCCCGGAAGTGACAGTGGAAACGCGACTGGCCCTGGCACGCACTAGCACGCCCGCTTTGGCTCTGACAGTGGAAACGTGGCTATTGGCATAGTGAACAGCAGGCAAACCAGATGGCAACACCTTTCCACACCTTGTGTGGAAAAGTTTCACTTGCATTGGATCAGGTTTCTGTGGACAACACAAACAGATGCAAACAATTATGCTCAAACTAGTTTCTTCCCACTGTAAGGCAACCCAGCACAACCAGTGGAAGACATCGCTGCTCTGACTCATGAAGGTTCTTCACCATATTAGTCCAGAAACAAAACAGTTTATCTTTCCATAAGATATTGTGTAACTGCTATAATAACATCCAACTCAATCACTTTTTGCACTGGCAGCACAGGTTTTTGATCGGCGAGCTGAATCCGTTGGAGTTAGCCCGAAAGCTGGTTGGCTTGTGCTGCCAGAGCATTCATGGTGAGGCGGATGTTGAAGAGTTCCTTTTCCCTCTTCGTGATGGCTGAGCTTGTTTCCTTGAAGCTATATTACAGAGCACAGAGGTGATTTCAGATTTACTGGAAGGAAGGACCCAAAAGCAGACAGATGCTATAACTTAAACTCAAGGCAAAAGACATGGCTTAATCAAAGAAGGGCAGATGCGAAGTGTTAGTCAGACCGGTGAGGGTCGAGCTAGAGAAACAGTCCATTCAACGACCAAATCTAGATAGGAAAAGACAGACGAGTCAGACGAGACAGTCGAGAAAGTTATTATCAGGAGACAATCAACATAGATGAGGCAGATCAGGACTAAGGTTAGAGATGAGTGGAGATCAGACCCAGGTAGACAGTCCAGTACTGGCACGAACAGTGCCAGAGGTTAATCCGAGAACCAGAACCAAGACAAGTGTTAGGCAAATTCCTTGCCAATGTTAAGTCCGCCGAGCAGACATCGTACACCCGATCGCTTAAAAAAGGTGAATTTGACACCTCATTCATGGTTGTAGGACAAACAGTGTGGGACAAGGTAGAAAATTATTAAATTTGTATGGGAAAAGAAGACGAAGAGGAACTAGACGTAAATTTTCTGAAGAAAATGTGAGTGGTCCTTGCTATGGCAAACTTTAGCATTAGGCAGTTGCTACGGTGATGTATGTGATTGCAAGAGAGCCAAATTCTGTACGATGCTGTGGTGCTGAAATATGGCTTGTTACTATATGATTGCTAGGGTGCTCTAAATGGTTGCTAGTATGTAGATACACAGTTCACACAGTAATACTTTTAAACTGGATGCCCGCCCTAATTATAAGAGCTTAACCCCCTGTTACATCCACCAGTTGGAGTGCCCTTGATCTTCACCTGAGGGCACTCCTCCCCACTCCTTTGCTCTCCCGTTATGAACTACATTCCCCATAATGCATTGCCCGGACTCATTGGGATTTGATTTCTCCCACCTCTGGTTCATTAGCTTGTTTGTATTTGCCACTGCCACTGTAATTCTGTGCACTTATATTTTGGTTCCTATGGTTTTGACCTCCTGCCTGTTCCTGGATTGCCTTGCTTGCCTGTTTGCCTGTTTACCTGTTTCTTGGACTCTGCCTTATATTTGGAATGTTTGACTATTGTGTATATCTGACCCTTTGCCTGTTATTATGGATTACGATTCTGGATTGCGTTTAATAAGCGGCTGTACTTGGATCCTCTAACTCAGCAGTGTTTTGTAACACCCCCATGTGCTTTCACAAATTTCGTGCCAAGGTTCATGGGAGTTAATAGGATTTTTCAGCTGATTTTTCAACCGCAGAGCAACTGATTTGTAAACATGATTAATCTTTACTATACAACTATATTACAATATTTGAGTGATGCAGATTATTAACCCTCTGGGGTCGGCGGTCACGCCGACGTGACCAGTTCGCTTTTTTTCTTATCAGTGCAAAAGAGACTCAAAATACTCTGTTGATTTTGATCTTACATATAAGTATTATACATCATTCGATCCTGTTAAGTGTCTATTTTTTTTGTGTATACTCACAATAAAAACAAAGTGTTGTGCTTTAATAAAGAAAACTAAACATGATGCGCATTCTGCCATCTCTCTCAATGTCCTTTCTGAAACGTGTCCGAAAATTAACTGTAACTCAGCGAATACTCAGTCACACAGGCATACAGGCACACAGGCATAAAGCTTGAATTCTCTTCTTTTAAATGAAGTAATTTATATTAAAAAAACAAATATTCTCAGTTTATGTAATCTGTAAAAGAAAGATGTCAGTCGTTCTCATTTCAGCTCGTTATAGCTCATTAAGTCCTAATGTGACCACGCCCACGGAGAGTGCACGCTATTCAAACGCAAATAATCTGAGGCAAGATGACTCAATAAAACACATCAAGTTTAATCAGACTCATGTACTTTACGACGCTGTGAGGAATAATACTATCGTAATAATAATCCTGGAAAATTTACCTCAGAAGTGCCGGTTTAGTTTCATTTCGAGGAGCAACGGATCCAGCTGAGGTGGAATAAAATGTCTTTATCCTTAAGTGCTTTGTTCTAATCGCGAAATGCAATAGTGTATGTAAACCGCAAAAAGACTGTTTAAATATGAATCGCATGTCTATGTGTGAATGAATGAACTGCACAGATGCGTGCTGTTGTTTACTAGAGAACAGCTTGCATCTGTGCCTTATAAGCAACGCATTAAACTGCAAATTAACATTTATACCCTTGTGAAAAAAAGTGCACTTTAGTGTACTTTTATAAAGTGTACTTATTACACAAATAATATACTTTAAAGGTATACACTTAAGTGTGAATTAAATGCAATGTTTTTCGGCACACTGAATGCACATTAAGTGTAATTAATTTCAAATGTATCATATATTAAGTTGAAATAAAATGTAATAAGTTGCCATTAAGAGTGATTTTTTGGAACAACTTAAGTGGGACTTTAACACAACTTTATATCTACTTTCATAATTGTTCTAGTGTATTTAAAATATAGTTAAAGTGCACTACACAATATAATGACACGCAATTAATGTGATTTAAAATATACTTTAATGTCAGTTAAAAATACACTTAAGTGTGAATTAAATGCAATTTTTGGGCCAAATGAATGCACATTAAGTGTAATTAATTTCAAATGTATCATATATTAAGTTGCCATTGAGAGTGATTTTTTGGAACAACTTAAGTGGGACTTTAACACAACTTTATATCTACTTTTATAATTGCTTCTAGTGTATTTAAAATATAGTTAAAGTGCACTACACAATATAATGACGCAATTAATGTGAACTAAAATATACTTTAATGTCAGTCAACAATACACTTAAGTGGGAATTAAATGCAATGTTTTCGGTGCACTGAATGCACATTAAGTGTAATTAATAAATTTTTTGGAACAACTTAAGTGGGACTTTAATACAACTTTATATTTACTTTCATAATTGCTTGTGTTTTTATAATATAGTTAAAGTGCACTGTTCAATCTACTGACAAGCAATTAATGTGAACTAAAATATACTTTAATGTTAATTAACAGTACACTTAATTCTTAATTAAATGTAATGTTTTAAACACAAATACATATTTGCAAAAGAAATTCAAATATATCAATTTAAATTTACATTAAATGCAATCATTTGAACTTAAGAGTGATTTTAATGCATTTTTCTACAGTATGTACTTTAACTGCTCCTATTGTATGTGAAATATGGTTATTATGTACTTCTAAAAATACTGGGGGAAAACACTAGTTAATTAAATATGTATTCATTTCAGTTGAATGCATTGCAAACAATCAAAAACCACAATGCTTACACTGACAATAAAACAGTTTGGTAGTCAAAAAATTATGAATGTAATTTTTTGTTTTGCAAAAGTACATTTAATGAATGAATAATGAATAAAGTTGTATATGTCCAAACAAACATAAATAAATTAGAAAACAAAACAAATGATGAGGAAAATCTTAGTTTAATATTGTAAAATTAGAATCAAACAAGTATCAATATTGCATAATTAAATCCCTTAGAAAAAAATAAACTCAAAAAAGTTAACTTACAGTATTAATATGGTCATTTAATTCTTATCTAGACACTACTTTCCTGATTTTTTGTTTTTTGTTTTTTGCATAACTCTCATTGCACTTCTGTCAAAGTACAGCCCTGACTTGAGAAGGAGTGGTCCCTTCAAAACGAGCAATCACAGCATCTGTGAAAACAAAAATAAAAACATTTTATTGAATATGATAATCACTGTAATCTGATTTAGATGCAATTGGTTTATCTAGGACATACATTTACAATTTAAAATATCACTAAAATAGGCTATTTATTTAGGATTTAGTGTCACAATTATGTCAGTAAAGCTGCTCAACTCATCTGTCAGTCACTATATATATATATATATATATATATATATATATATATATACAGTCACACAATAAATAACAATTCAGTCATATAAAAAATATCATATTAAAGCATTTGAC